GCGGGGCGGGGGGCGGGAAGGGGTGGGGCTCCTGCGCCGAGACACCTCCAAATCCCCACCTACTGCCTGCGAGGTGGAGTCTGGCTGCTGGATGGACTGGAGAGGTGGCTGGAATCGTGCTGACCCCCAAGGGCTCTGAGGTTTTGCCAAGGGGTGGAGAGGGGTGGGGGAGCAGATGGAGAGGCAGGGCAGGTACAGAAGAAACCAAAAGCTGAAGGAAGAGGAAGAGGCTTGCGGAGCTACGTCCCATGCCTAGTGCTGGACTTCCCCCTCGCCTTCCAGCCACATTCTCGGGGTGTCCTCGGGGAGGAAGGAATGCGAGAGCGGAAAGGGCAACCCCGGCTTTCTCTCCCGACGAAGCTGGCATCTGTGACCCTTGCCGGTTCCCCCCTTCCGGATCTTCCCTGCGATCGAGGGAGCCAGAGGCCTCCAATGTCCTTCGCTCTCCTGCCCTCTCCCCGTCTTTCACCCTTCTCCCTCGCTTCACTTTTCTTTGCCTGGCCCTTCTCTTTCTCTGCATCGCTCTTCCTTCATGGGTACCAGACCTTCCTCCAGCCTCTACACCTCCAGTCTCTGGAGCACCTGTCTGTGCTTCCTCAGCCCGCTGCCTCCTTTCCCGTCGCGCCCGCATGGACCGCTCTTCTAGTCTGCCCCAGACACCTGGCTCTAGATCCCTGACTTCCCTCAAGTCCTCTCCCTGTCCTCATTTTCCACATTTCCCTCGCCTTGGTTTTCTTTCTGCTGCCTTGTTACTAGCCTTTCTTCACACGCTGGCCTCCTTTGCAGATGTCATGCAGGTCCAGGCCTAGAGCTCCCAGCCTCAGTGTCATCTCAGCATCTTGGGGTTACAGAAGACGATGGGGCTGGACAGTGTATTAAAGGTTAGGAAGGCTGGGATTTGGAGAATCTGTGTGTACTCCCACGTTTGTAATATTACTCTTCGACTTTTAAAATCATTCGCATTTTCTTAATAAAGACCTACGTTGTTGACCCATCCTCTGTCATTTGGTGTTTAAGTGCTTAAGGATCTTTTGGTCCCTCGGTACAGACACACGTCCAGTTTCCCCTCTGATTCTTCCATCAATTTCTCAGTCTTGGTTTCCTCAGAAATCTTGGGGCCCCACCCAGGTTTTTCCTTGCGGGATTCTGTCCATTTTTTCCCTGAGGTCTTTCCATTTCCCTCTCTCATTCTGTTTCTGACTCCCTGATGGCTGTCTTCAGCGATCTCTCACCATCTCCATCTCGGTGCTCCTCTCCTGCTCCATTTATCTTCCTCTCCCCCCACCTCTGCTACCCCCCTCGCAGGTCGCAGTCCCCCTCCAGGTCGGTCTCTTTCCTCTCCCTCCAGCTCTTTTCCTCTTCCCTCTCTGCCACCTCCGAGCCCCGCCTGCTGTCTCGGACACCCTGCTGGGCTCTTACCCTGTTGCCCCGGTAACCGCCCCCCACACCGGTCACCTCCACTCCCCTCCCCATCCCATCACTGCCACCAACAACCTCCATCCACCTTCCTCCTGTTTTTCCTGAGAGCCAATAGAAACCCTGTTGCCAGGTGGAATGCTCATTTGAATCAGCCAATCGAGAGCGTAACTGCTTGCCCTGCCTTATATGGGGATGCGAGGAGGGCCACTCCCCCCACTCCTGCCCCACAGGGGACCATCCCCTCCACTGTCTC